TTAATTAAAGCTAATAAATATATAATTTTATTGGTTAAAGAATGTTTGCAAATGAATACCATTTGCCAATAACAGTAATTTTTTCAGAAAACATCAACTACTAAATTTAAAAATCAAACATTTTTTTTAGAAAAGAAAAATATACTTTCCTAGCTTAATGATAGTAAATATTAACATTAAAAAATTATTTTTATTTGTATATTTATTACCAAAACAATTTTAATAATGTTTTTTCCCTTTTCTTTTTTTTCAGGTGAGTTTAAAGATCAAATGCATAATTGTTTTATCGTGTAAGTAAGTATGAGATTTAGAGGAAAACAAGAAAGATACTTATATCTAGTAATGTAATCTTATGGTAAATTATTTGTTAAGTTATACAAAATACATTTTAGGTTAAATATATTTTATTACCATTCAAAATATCATAGCATTGTTTAATTTAAAAATAAAAACAATATTTATAGCTTGATTTTCAAGGGGTATAAATTAAAATCGAAGAAACTTTTTTTTGAGTATTAGTTTAACGAAAAAAAACCCATGGCCTATGGTAAGGATAGGCCTAACTCTCTATTAATTTATTCCAAATAATAGAGTAATAAGATTTGCAAAAATATAAAGCGATTTCTCGTGTCTATCCGTGTGTCATTTACCCAAGACTTCCCCGAATCCGCTTGCCAAAAATGTCTTGCAGTTGCGAAACACACCATGTTGCACACATCATCTTGCATGACAACTGCAGTCGGATTTTTGGATTTGCTTCGAGATTTTCCCCAAGATTTTCTCCGCCCCCGCGAACATACTCGTATATCTTTTCATTGTGCTCCCTTCGTCGCTTTCCAAACATTTCTCGTTTTCGCTTCTCCGACTTGACAGTTTGTTTACAATATGTTCCTTGAGGCGAGGTGGTCTCCTCTGTGTCTGGCAGCTCGATGCGGGCTTTTCCCGCTTTTCCCGCTTTCCCAACTCGGTGGCTCTTGTCATCAACGGAGAACTGCCCAATTATGTCTTAAGAAGCAAACGCAAGTGCAGATGTGAACTTTGCCCAGACAGCTGCATCCGCATTTAATTTGATTTTGAATCAATTAAATCTTATCTGGTTTGTAAATTACGGGGAGTAATAACTGGCATTTAGGAAACTGTTTTATTCTGTACCAGAAGTTTATATCTTGTGCGACACGAATACTTCTTTACGAGAGGTTAAGAGGTTTTAAACCTCTTAAAACGGTGTCTAAAAGTATGCTAACAAAAATAAAAAGTCTAAATTGTAACATTCTTTTAGACACCTTTATAAAAAATGTGGTTTCACTAGTCTTCAGAAATACAAATTTCTTTTCAATCAGAATAAATATAAATTAATTAAAAATGTTATTTTCAAATGTAAATTTAAGCGACTGATACGGTATACTTTAGGCATGTTCCATAACCTTTTCCGCTTTGAAATCTCCAATTTTCTAAGCCACAGCCAGAAACAAAGTCGCACCCATTCTGCCCCAACTTTTCCACCCATTGTGACCATTTTAGGGCCATTAGAATTTCTTTGTGGCATCGCGAATTGTTCTCAGCATCGTGGTCGTTGTGTTTTTAAATAATTAATCACTTGGACTGAAAAACCAAAAACGCAGAGCACCCAAAAATATGCACATTATGTGGCCAGAGTCCAAAGAATGGAATATGCTGGATAACAGGATAAAAAGAGATAGATAGGTTGCTACACAGAACGAAACTATAGTTCTTATAAACACAATATCTGTTTTTCAATTCAATTTATAATATAACCAAAATCTCAACATTATAGTCCTGTTGTTACAAGTTTTAACTATTTTTCTAAGTATCTTAAAAAAATAGTTTTTAATTAAAATTTCCTAAGCCAAGAATTTTTTTTATTTATTTTTTTTTTATTTCTAAAAACCATATTTTTAGGGGGCATTTAGGTCCGAGAATAAGTATGAGGATATCCTATTGGATATATTTAGCTTTATATAAATTAAAGTATGGTCGTATTATATAAACTTCCAATAAAACGATCGACCTAATAGTTTTTTTCTCCAATGTAGAGCAATCTGAAAACGGAAAACGAACCGATATAAATTGCATTATAGGCAAATTAATTGTTTTTACCGGCCACAAGAGTTGGTCGCATTAATGGCCAACCCCTAAAGCCCACTACCACCCCCCACCCCTCCTGGCAGCGCACGCACACATTCAAACCGGAGGCCCAAGGACATTAATAAGGCCCAAAGGATGTGGTGACATTAATTGCGCGACGAAGGCCGAGCCATTTTGGATCCAGGGGGTCGGACAGTCATTACATTTCCATATAAATATTTATCGCATGTGATAATGCCCGCCTTGGGTCGCGGGATCGGGTGGGTTTGACAATAGTTTTTCAATTTATGTTGTATATGAAACCGACTACAGGGGTCGCCCGCAAATGAAGGCGGCCTAATTAAATATTATCCCAATTTAATTTAGTCAGAACAATACAGGTCATTTAAAAACTTAGGAATGAAATGAGAGGATCTAACTAAACATTATTTAAATTATAAAATTTAAGAAAAAAATGAATATGCTAATGTTGGTACCAGTGATTTTTTTTATGGTATCAATTAATCTCTATAGTTACTTTCATTGATCAAATTTTTCAATTTTTCATTTTTTATATGGCGAGTGTCCACTGTACTTTGGCATTAAGCCCCGTTAACTGCAATTTGAGCCACATGCTGTCCCTCTTGCACCTGTCTTTCTGTCTCTCTCCCCTTCCAGTGGGGGATGGCTTTGCATGTGTAATTAAGGCGAAATGGTCAAGAAATCATAATTTAAGTAGAGACCAATGTGCGACCCGCACTCTTCTTCCTTTTTGGCTGTTTGGCAACATCTGTCTAAGCAAATAGCACATTCATTACATTAATTAATAATTCTATGGCATTAATTTTGATTTATTTGTCTTCTTCCCTCTCTTTCTGGAATGCCAGGGCCAATTTGTCAACTTGGTCAAATGGAAATGGGAAGCGAATTCCTTCTGGAATGCGTTCCCTCTCTTTTGCTCTTCTTAGTGGAGCCGGTTTCTGCTTCAATTGGGAAAACAAAAACAAAAGCCAAGTCGCAACAGCTGGTCGATCTTTGCCGCTCTCCCCCTCTTCATACTCTTATTCCCGTTCGAGGCCATTCAAAATGTAAGAAAAAAATGTAAAGGAACAGGCCAAAGCAACAATAAAAACAAAGCGAATAACACAACTGAAAATAAGAGGGCAACAAAAGCAACGCCATGAAAACTTTGGCGCAGTTTTGACGATTTGAGCGAAGGGCTCTCCCACAAATCGAGCGAACAAAACGATCGGTGCTCTTTCTCTCTCTCTCCTCGCTTCACTGAATTATCACTGAAAAAATTAAACGTCCCATATATGGTACTTATATGGTGTTTTCTACTCTTGCCACAAATGACAGCAAATATCGATATTGTATCGAAATTGTAAGTGATTTTTAATCAATTCTTTTATAAATATAAAATAAAATAAATGCTTTTTAAATACGTATTAGTCAATACAAACTGCAATTAATCTCAACCTTATTTAGAGTGTACTATTGAGTTTGCGAATAACGAAAGTCAACACTAAGAGAAAGAACAAAAAAAACAAAAGGGAAAACTTGTTCCCACATTTTAGTATGGTAGATTTTGGTAAACAATAAATTTAAGTATTTTAAGCGTACCCAAAAATTACTCATTCGACACCTATGCCAGTAAGAATGTCAAATTAAACTGTAAATCAAAAATTCATATGAGTGATTAACTTCGAAGCCAATGCGGATACCCTAAATTACATATTTTTCAAAAATCTTTTGGTAAACATTTTTGAGAGTATAACTTTCGAATTTTCATAAAAGTTTTCCATAAAACATTGTATTTTGTTAAGCGATTCAGTAATCTTTGTACATTTTAAATTGCAAACATACAATATATTTTATTAAAATTAAATGTGTTATATATAAATCTTATGAATTATTCGTTTGTGAATGTGCACTGTATTTTAAAAAAAGGGGTGGGAGTTGGTGAAGTTACAGCAATCGCGGCCTCGCCCAGATTACCTCCCTCGCCCACTGCCACGCCCCCGCACGTAGCCGCCTCCGTTTTTTGGCCTTCTCGTCTCTCGATGCGTTTGCATGTCGTCTTTAAATAGTCGCCTGCGTTCATTTCAGTATTAGCTCTTGTACACAGAAAGAAAAAGTTATGTGATTCAAAGATCAAGTTCTTTGATATTTTATGTCAATTCTAATCAGAAAAATCTGCTTAAATTTTCGAATCAATATTTTCGGTCACCCAATTCTTACATATACATATTTATTGAGCTAAAAACTCAAAAAATAACTCTAATAACTATAAGAATTTTTTTTCTTTTTTTTTCTATTTTTTTGAGTCAAATTTGTTTTAAAAATTTGAAAATTTCAATATTCTTTTTAAAATAAAATATTACATTGTTCCGACATTATTTCGATCTTTTTGCGATGCTAGTTTCATCCTATATATAGACAAATGTGATATTTTGTCCACATTAAAAGTACATTCTAAATATCCATCAACATGTATCTGGTATATAAAAGTTGTTTTTTTCTTTCCGTGCAGCAGTGGATGTTGTTAATTTGTGTGGCTGTGTGGATGTGGATGTCGCGGTCTGCAATGCAGTTGACCAAAAACAATGCACACTCTTTTATTTTATGGCGGTTTTTCGTGATTTCGATCGCGGCGGCAACAACAAAACAAAAAAAACACATGCGATTTGCGCAATTTACGCGTGAGCGAGTGTGTGTGTGGGCAGCATCCACATTTCCAATGCAGCAAACTCGTTCCACACAAACACACACTTGTTTTTGTTTGTGCAATGCCGCATATGCGCGCTCTCTCTCTCTCTCACTTTTCCGCTCTCGTAGTGCTCTCATCGGCTCGTTTCGCTATCTCTGCTCTCGCGTCGGCAAACTGCTGTTGTTGTTCATTCCGATTGGAATGCTCGAAGGCAACGGTTCGCAATCGCGGCTGCTGGAAAATCGAATAAGAACGCCGACAATGTTGTTTGCCGTTTTCACACGCGCATAATTTCGTATTGCGAATTTTGTTTAGTAAGTGCGCGGCATTTTTTTGCTAGCTGTTTGTGTGTGCGTGTAATTAACCAACATTCAAGTGCTAAAATCGAGAAAAAGAAAAACAACAAAAACATTTGCGATTATTTTATGCTTTACCGTTTTTTTGTTCGTGTGCGTGCCTGTGCTTGTGTGTGTCTCATTTATTTATTTCAATTCTTTGCAAATGCAAACACAAATAATCAAAGAATAACAAAGAACAAGAAAAACAAAGAAGAAAACCGAAAAACAAAATATGTTGCTGTGGCTGTTTCTTCTTCCCCTTTTTGCCGCTGTTTTGTTTGTTTTTATTACTGTGTGTGTTTCTTATTCGGTTTTATCTTTTTGCAAATGAATTTTCGCAATAAATGCAAAATAAGCTTAAAATTTCAAGAGTTTGGAACGAGTTTTCATTGAGTTTAGCAAGGCCTGCAGTTACTTAAATTTGAAATCTATGTCGCACATTGATCTTCGTGGGTGACTCACCCTCTCTTTTTCGCCCCGTTTTCCTCTCTTTCTGACTCAGTCCAAGATTCTTTGGAATTATCGCGATTATTACCAAAAAAAAGTGTAATTTATGCTTTTGAGGGGATTGCCTAATACGGGATTTCAAGTTAACAAACAAAAAAATGGGGGATATTAAGTTTTTAGTTTATGACTTTTGCGGAGTGGTTTAGCATCCCGAGTACTTAAATCTGTAAAAACATTAAAATATGTTGGCTTATAGACAATATCCATAAAATAATTCAACATGTCTATTACATCATTTACTAAATGATTTTTCATCACTTCTTTAATCCAAAATTAATGGAACTCCTCTTATCTAAGCAGTCACATATTTTCATTGAATTTGGATAAAACCTATTTATGTCATCTATAATTATTTTTTCTTCATTATTTTCCTGAATATTTAAACCAATCTCAATCTACAAAATATTAAATCTTACAAATAGTAATGGCCACATTGCAAAAATCTTTAGAACCATCTATTACATTTTATTTCACATAGCTTATTAATGTTATTAAGAACCATACGTACTTACAGAAATGCATTGAAGTTGTTATTCTTATATAAAATACGGTGAAAACTCTTTGTTAATCTCTTTTGTCAGCGGCTTTATCACCTGATTACATATATTTTTGATCAATAAAACGCTTAAATTAAAGTCCCATTACCATGTTCATCCGTTTTTCTCGTTAACTCCAAAGTTTTCTTCAATATTTTGTATAAACTAAAAATACCAGACCCGAACTCTTAAAATTCATATTTGGAGAGCGGTCTGAAAATAACTTGGGGAAATTATAATTCCCTCTGGCTGCACTTTAGTTTCCCCGCTCGCTTTTCCTCAATCCTTTTTGGTTCTCCGCCATTAATGTCATCCGAGACGATCAGCAAATCAATTTAACAACAAATGCGACGACATTTGAGTTTTCCGGGGGAAACAGAAACGCAAGAATGGGCCAAGAAAGTGCTAACATGTGCGGCCCTTGAGATGCGATTCTTCCACCGATCTTCAGCCGCATTCCTATACATATGTACATATGTATGTTTAATGGAGTAGGACTAGGCCACTTGCGGCTAACGTTTATTAACTGTTAACAAAGAAAGCACACACCGAAAAAAAAAAAAAAATTAAATGCAAATTGTTTTTGGCCGTAAAAAGTAAAACTATGTATGAATATTTTTCAATATTCTCGAACTATTTGAATATACATTTGATGCTAGGAAAACACTTATGCAGGATATTTTTACAAATCTCTGTAATAAGTTTGGTAAATTTTAAATGTTTCAAACAAAAAAATGTATCTTTTTTTCGTTCTATTTCCTATAAAAACCAAAAATGACTAAAATGTATACATAGATTTATTTGTTTTGCAAATGAAATCAGGTTCTTAAACTTTTTTTTCGTTTTGTTGAGTGTGGAGTTTCATTAACGTGCATTGTACGCCCGAGTGAATTTTCCATTTTATTTACATATCAAGCGATGGTCAGCAATGGGGTTTTTTGTTTTTCATTGTCATGACAACCACTCGAATGAATTGAGAGAATGACTGTGTAAACGATTCTGCAGCAGAAAATACAATAATTAATTCTTAAATATTCTTAATTTCATCTGTTTCAATTGAAATGAACAAATATAATCAGTGCAAACTGTGAAAATGCCATCGAAGTATCGAAAAATAGTGCAAGAAATTGCATTTTAAACAATATTCGAGTACGAAACTATTTCTACAGTCAACGAACTGTCATAGAGGCCAGAAGAGCGAAAGAGACGGAAGAGCCAGCGAGAGGGAGACAGAGACAGAGCGAGTCTCTTCTCCGCCTCTATAAATTTGCATAGAAAAACACGACACAGAAAGCAGCAACATGTAAGTATTGCAACAACAAAAAAAAATGTTACCAAATGAAAAATTGTTTCGCTACCAACACAAAAACTGCACTCAATAATGAAGATAACAAGATTCCGTATGCTTTTTATTTTAATCTTTCTGGGGGATTTTAGGGGAAGAACTGGCGAATTATCTTCGCTTAAGTATTTTGAAGGCAAATAACTCGATATATTAATTAGTGGGAGTTTTAATAGAAACATATACTCAAGAACCAAAAATAAAGCATTATTTTTTAAATACATTTTACTAAAAAATGCGCTATATTTGATTTAAAAAGAGCAGTCCTGACACAAGCAACTGGGGAAAGAGAATTAAAAGTCTACTATCTTTTAAAATAACCCAAGAAAATTGATAAAGAAATTAATCTTTAATTTATTAATATTTGTAATGACAAAAATTGATAAAGTAATCATGAGTAATTTGTATTAAATTTCATTTTTCTATTAAACAAATTTACAAAGATTATGATAAAGAATAGTATCATATCGACAATATTGTATCTTTACAAATATCATTATTCTTACCCAAATTGATCACAAAATTACACATACTTCTTTTTAAATTTTTAAAATTTCTTTTGATAAGTGGTACGGATGTATCACATAAATATCGGTATTCAAAATCAATATTAAAACGACGTCTAGAACTAAGACATTAAAAGCTTAGCTGTACAATTTTAAAGATACGATGAACTTCCCTATTTGGTAATTGTTATCGAATGTTTGGAGATGGAGACGGTTCAAAGTGCCAGGGCGGTTGACTTAATGACAATTCTCACCCATCGATTTGAACTCGGTCCCCTCCCCATCCTTTGAATTCGTTTCCCCTGCCATGTGCAACAAATATGCCGGCTCTAACTTATCAGTTGACTTGCACTGCGCAAAACACAAACAAACCACAGGGAGGGGGGTTCGTTTTGGTCAGATAGATGGACGAAACACGACGGAACATTTAAGTCACTTACAACTGACCCCCGACATCGACCACCCAATCAAAGTTGCCACCTGAATGCGATAAGAGGAAAACATTTTGTTTGGAAAGTTTTTTGGGGGAAAGGGGGCGGTGGCGGTAGTGAGGGGAGGAAGGCGCCTTAGATATCGACGGTCAATCGATGATGTCCCCCCAAAAACAATAATAAAACGACGATGACAATTTCTTTGTAATTTGTTTGTCTCTTCTCCCAAAGCCGTCGTTTTGCTATCATTATCTACAGAGAGAAAAAATCAATCTATATTAGAAATTTTCAATTCTTACAATTTTGATCTATAAAAAAATTTAAATCAATTTTGAAAAGAGATTGCTACTTTATCTACAGAGAGAAAAAATCATTCTATATTAGAAATTTACAGTTCTTACAATTTTGATCTATAAAAAAAGTTAAATCAATTTTGACAAGACATTAAAGGCTTAAACTAAGAGAATCTGCCCCTGGTAGCAAAAGCCCCAGTTCGAAACCCACCAGCCTAATATTTTTTAATTATACAGTAAATTTATCATATTATACAGTAACATGTTTGAATGTTTCAATATGATATTTTTAACATAGTCCTAAATCATCAAAAGTATTATTTTATTGCATACAATTTTTCTTTTCATATATTGAGTTGAAAAACTAAAAAAAATCGGCCAGCTTTTGGGTACGGAAAATAATTTAAATTACAATAATTCCAATGATAGAAACAGGAAGCGAATGGTGAAAAGTTTTATTTTGTTTATAAAGTTTACAGTGTAAACAATGTGTGTCAATATTATATTTTCGTAACACCACGCCCTCATGAGACAAATTTGAGCTAAGAAAAAAGTTATTAACAAAATTGTGTTCTTATTTCTTTATTGTGTCTGCGCTGGACAAACATTCAAATAGATTTTGAAAAGCAAACTGAGGCCAAATCATGAATTTAGCCGCAGGCAGACTCTAAAGTAAACAACAACAAATAGCAGACTAAACTCCCCACATTTCCCTTCCGCTTTTTCCCTGTTTGTTATCAGCTTCGGGCCAATTTTAACTTTCGTTTTCTCTCTTTTTTTTGCTTTCCCAAGTGCAGAGGGCTGGGCACCTGCCTTATCAACGTCTCCGATTTTGTTGTGCCCCCTACGACCGATTCATAACCCATTTTGGAGTGCCCATTCCCATTCTTACAACCAATCACCGATTACGAAACTCCTCGCTGGTATCTCAATAAGTTTTACGTTGTGTAATTCCCAAAGAATGATTTGGTAATTTCCTTGTGAATTTAAATTGTAACAATCGCCGGACAATTAATTGTTTCAGAAATTGAGGAAAAAAGAAGTGAATTTGTTCGAATTGTTTTTATTAATGGTTCACAATTGTGATTGACAGATTACATAACGGTTATGAAGTCCCAGAAATGTATTAATACAACTTTTTGGATAAACATAAATCTAAAATGTTTTGAAAATATTACCAATGGTTTCGTAAAAACGGTCAATTAATCTTTATATCTTGCTTAATAATTATACATAGTTTTTTTTCAAATCAAAAGAAGTGTTTTAATATTTTCATTAACAGCCAGAAATAGCTGAACGAATAAGAGTTGTTAAAAAAGACAATAAAAACAATTTCTTTGTTTTAAAATCCACAAAAGAACTGTATCGCTTTAATATTCATATTTTCAGCCATAATTTCCAGTTGTAAAAATATATAACAGATACCATGAGAAATAATACTTGCGCAATGTTTACATTTCATTGTTTTTCAGCCAGAAGAAGCTTATAAAACAAGACTTTTAAAAAAATACAATAGAGCGCTGAGATTAATTCATTTTAAAAGTATCTCAAAGCTCATTTAGGCAATTAATTTGATTCGAATACAGTGCTGTGGTCACCGAAGTCCATGAACCTCTTGTAAACAGCGTTAAACTTTATCCCCGAAATCAGACGTTGTATGAAAAATAATTGTGATCTTTAGCTTCTTCTCAATTGAAGCTTGTTGCAAAAAGGCAAGGGCGGGGTTATGACGAGCATCTTAATTCAGTTTTTTGGTCTTTTTCTGGTCTTTTCGCCTCACTTCCGCGTGCTCTTTGTGCGCTGCCTTCGCATCTTCTTTGCTTTTTGTTCAAGATACTTCAGACGTTGACGACGCACTGCAAATTGTGGGTTGTCAGGGGGGCTAAAAAGCTAAAAACCGGGAGAATGGGCGATCCGGAGATTGTAGCTGAAAGGCGGCATCAGACGATGACGAAGTCTCTTCCCCATCTTGAACTCGAGATTCGAGATTGGGCCGCCAGTTTGCGCCGTTGTCGTTGGCAATATTTAATCAAGCCAAGAAGCCAACTGGAAGCAGCCGCCTACAGGGAAAAACAACAGCAGCAAAAACAAAATCAGCGAAAGACAAAGCCAACTTCTTGTTGTTGATGTTATTGATAGTTCGCCATGAGTGGAGCTCGTCTATCTGAGAGATACGCAGATATTCGCAATCTGTGCGTGGGTGACTATCGAAGCACAACCCAAACCCAAACCAAAACCAACACCAAAACCCAAACTCAAACTCAAACCAAAACCCTAGAAATATGTATCTCTTGCACCCCACGTTCAACACAGGTGACCACATAAGTTTATATCATCTACTTTATACAGTTGCGGTCGAAGTAATCGTTACTTAAAAATCCACGAATCAAAGCAAATGTCTAAAGAATATACCTTTTTAAGGAGTAATATATTTAAATACATAGCTGTATTTAATTATATATATATATTAATTTAAATATATGCCATTAAATTATTTAAAAGTGCTATTATTTTAACCCTTTTTGTATTTGGTCAACGTTTTGGCTGACTGCGGTAAATAAATTAAAGCAAAATTACATGAAGGGGAAGTGAAAATATTTATGAAAAAAGTTTGCCATGCAACTTGCTCCGTCTGCTGACAACAGCATTGGATTTTGTGGCCTCGGGTTTCATACACTGTTAAAAACGGTTGACTTCAATCAACTGTATAATCAAAGATTAAAAAACAAGAAATGTTTCGCCAATTTTATTAAATCCTAAAATGTTTATTAAGCTATTAATTTTTTGCATTACTTTAACGATATAGAAAACTGCCCAAAGTTCACTTCCTTTGTCGTTTAAGATTTAAATTAGTTTTTGTGATTTTGATAGCGAATAGAAGAGCGGATGTGTTCGCTTTTTGCAACTCTAAATTGTTTTTTTCTTGTGTCTTTTGAAGCATTTTTAATAAAGTGGATGTCACTCAAACGATAAAATCGAAAATCGTTAAGCTTTGAGTGGATTTTTTATGGAATATCAAACCGCAGTTACTGAAATGCAACTTGTACAACGAGAAACGTTAACTAAACGAGATATGAAAGTTATAGACGTTTAAGATGATTGCAATGAAATTGTGGTCTGCTCTTGACAAGTCACTAAAATGGATTTATTCTTGAAGTATTTTCTTTCGTTGAAGCTAACAAAATGTTGTTGAAAACATTTTATTGAAACACATGCCAGCTGCATTCAACAATTTAATGAACAACCAGACGTAACGATAAAATAAAGAAATATACATCTCAATTTAGATACCGGTTGAGATTTAAGGGTTTCCCAAGACAGATGCTTTGCGCCAAGAGCAACTTTCTATGCCACAAAAGCGGCAGTAAATTTTAGTTAATGATCCTTTTGTGGTTTTCCCTCAGGTAATAGGATAATGAGCTTTCCTCTCCTCGCACCGATTTTCCCCAAAGGAGCGGCAAATGTTAATTTCTTTATGATATTTTCGCCTGGACTAAATGAAGCGCTTAATATCCGACCATGTCGGCAATTACAAGGGTCTGGTAACTTGAGGGCCGCACAAAAATGCTAAATAAAATATAAAAATGGATTATCGGTGGCACTTCGGCTGGCGCAAAATTGAAAGTTAAACTGCAGGAAAATGGTGGGAAAATCACCGAGCAACCGAAATCTCTGCCAAAGAAATGTCAACGAGCGTGAAAGTGACAGGAGAAAGAGGGTGGGGTTTTATT